ATTTGGCTACAAGCCAAATTGCTCTGAGCTCAATTACTTTATTGCATCGTAATAAAGCACAAAAGTAAGTACCTTCATTGCCAAATCATTTTTTTTTTATATCATAATTTTTATGTATTTTAGGAGCGACTGCATTGAGGACTCCCAATTGTTACTGATTGCGAGTCGCGCATTAAGACCCGTAGACAAAACGCGCTCCCTAAAATTGATACAGCATGCTATACGTTTGCATCCTCAAAATCAGAATGCTTGGCTGGCGCTACAGGAAGTTCATTAATGGATATTTTGCTTGTAAAAAATTATGAAAACAGGTCTTGCTGATTTTGAATCAAATCGTTTTTAGCGACGAAGATTATGTAACTAAAAGCGTATTTTATGCAATGAAATACTGTCTGACATTAAAATCTACATATTTACAAATTTTCTTGCTTCGAAATGCCGACAGATTAAAAAGACGAAAGTCTTACTAGCTGATAAAAAGGTAAGCAATGAAATTGTGATTCAACATAGGATTTTTTTTTTTGCAAAAGATAAAGCACAAAAACTCAAGAGTGGGATATAATTCGCTGGAAGCACTAATATGAATATTTGAAACATATTAAATATATCGAGCCTTAACCGCAAACATGACGTAAGCAACATTTTTTCAAATCATAATTTCGATACAGAATTGCTATTAGAGCTTCTAGGAGCATTTTTGCATGAAAAAGGATGTTTTGAATCTTTTGAACAAGCACATATTTTTCCTTTTAGATTTGATCTTACGCTTACTCTAACAGGCATCGGAGCGGTTTCGTTTTAATTTCATTCCGAAGATAAATGTTGAAATAGAAAAAGACGTTTTGTAGTAAGTTTTTTCCAGAAGGTCTTAGGCTGGAAAATCTACGTATGTACATATATTTTGGCTGGGTTGTGCTTTGAGGGATGTTAATCAAATTGCTAACAACTAAAGGGTTTGAAAAGTTGAAAAGTAATTCCAAATAACACCTAGCGAACTGCGGAATGAAATTGAATTCTAGGGCAGAAAATTAAAAGCAGCGTAGTAAAAAAAGAAATACAAGATATTGCCAAAATGAAAGGTAACGTGGGAATGAAAGATTAACTGATGAAAATGAAATTATAGAAAAAAGGTGGTGTTTTAATAATAATTTTCACAATTCACTATGGGAGTCTAGGATGCGAATCCGCATTATGGAAAAATTAAGCTGAAATTTCGGGCACCGAAAATTATAAAATATTCTCAGACCTTTTTATTAAATGTGGCAACAGATTATGTAAAACCGATTTGTATAGGAAGAGCTGCAAAAGCGAAAATAACAAGAAAAACATTATTTTGCAGCGGCCTCCCTATTTACCTTACCTAAATTTAATGGGGGAAAAAAATTTACTGGGCAATCTGTCCTTGAAAAGGACCTCGAATTAATT